TCTCTGTGTCTGTCTCTGTGTCTGTCTGTCTGTCTCTGTGTCTGTCTGTCGGTATGTATGAAGGTATGTATGTATGTATGTATGTATGTATGTCTCATACGTATATGCATATGTATACGTATATGTATGTGTATGTGTGCAGATATATGTATATATGTACATGTATGTATGTATGTATGTATGTATGTATGTATGTATGTATGTACGTCTGGATGTATGCATGTGTGTATGTACGTATGTAAGCATAACTGTATGAGGCGTATGTATATGTGCAAGTAGAATTCTGTGTGTATATATGTAAGTGGATCTATGTATGTATGTATGTATGTATGTATGTATGTATGTATGTATGTATGTATATATGTTTGTATGTATGTACGTATGTATGTATGTATGTATGTATGTATGTATGTATGTATGCATGTTTGTTTGTTTGTATGTATATGTATATGTGTATGTGTATGTGTATGTGTATATGTATATGTATATGTATATGTATATGTATACGTATGTAAATACACATGTACATGTACACATGTGTATGTATGTATGTATGTATGTATGTAGGTAGGTAGGTAGGTAGGTAGGTAGGTAGGTAGGCAGGCAGGCAGGTAGGTAGGTAACTATGCCACGATGGCCGCGCGACATATTACGCTAGGTCGGACAACCAGGCAGCGATCTCAAAGTCAATAAGTAGCTAGATGTAACTGCATGTATTTGTATTGTATTTGTACCTGTGCATGTGGGTATACACACATATGTATATATATATATATATATCTAAACGGCTGGCTGGCTGCCTGTCAGGCTGTCTGGCTGTCTGGCTGTCTGTCTGTCGGCAGGTAGGTAAGTATGGTCACATCAAAGGCTGGCTGCATCAAAGACCTACTGATCCGTCCGGCCCAGCCAGAGCAAGCCCCAAAACCCGAAAATCTCCAGGCAAAGGGGAAGTCTCTGAAGCGCCGCGTGGTGAGACAGCGCGCAGGCCACAGCACCCTCCGTGAGGTGGTCATCGAAATTCACCAATTCATTCCTGGGGTTCTAAGAGGGGTTTACTTGGAGGTTCATGGGTAGTTATAAGTGGAGTTATAAGTCCCCTAATATAGGTTATAACTATAGTTACCCTACTTATAAGTCCACTTATAACTACCCATGAACCTCCAAGTAGGGAGTAGGGTTTAGTAGGATGAAGGCTTGGTGATCAGGTTTGCCGGTTTGGACGGTGGTTTAGGACGTCGGCTCATCGGTTGGCGGCGTAGCCGCGGAGTCTTAGAATGCGGCTTGGAGATGTGCCGCTGTTGTAGTACTTTTGTAGGGTTCGAGGAAACAAACACATCACAAATCAATGTGGATCCCGTTTCTCAGCGTAGGGTTTTGTGGAAAGATGATATCTGATGCTAAACCCAAACGCTCAACCCTAAACC